CCGATCCAAAATAAGTGTCGTGGTTTTATTTAAAATCATGACACTTATTTTGGATCAAAGGGAGTACCAGAGTTCTTATGCTAATATGACTGAACAATTTAGAATGTACACAACAATTCAGCGTCATTAAAGGAACTATGTTTCATTGTTGTTGGACCACTAGAATATTTATGGCTCCATTGAAGCACTTGTGCTGTTTTACTAGTACTAGTGGTTGGGGCGCTACCCTGTGGCGTCGTTTGAGGGGAAGTTATGCGCACGTTTCCATTTAAAAAAAATACATAGAGCCCTCCTCCATCTAAAAAAACATCTCAGAAAAAAAATCCTCACCTTCATCTAAGAAAAAGAAGTAAAAATCCCTAAAAAAAGAAAAAGAAGTAAAAAAAGAAAAAAAATCACCACCGCAGCCTACCAACGAGTGCCACTTTGAATAACCCTCCATTTAAAAAGTACCAGAGGTCCTCACCTCCATCTAAAAAAATACATTTAAAAAATAATTCACATCTTCATCTATTTTTTTCAAAAGATTTCTCACAGCGGTCAACCAGCTTGTGCCACGTGGCATAGCTTGTTGGCCTCCCTTCACACGTAGCTTAATGGGTTTAAGATGGTGAGATTACATTTTATTAGAATGAGATTTGGTTGTGTGAAACATGAATATTTGGATAACTTAAACTGAAAAGTACATATTACATGTTGCATCTGATCATTGTAATTTTTTTGCGGGAATTGATTATTGTATAGTTAAATTTTTTATCAAATATATAGCATAGTATATTGGATTTTTTTATCTCACGCATGTTGTGGGATGTGTAGATGTTGAGAAAAATAGTATTCCCTTTGCAAAGAAATATAAGAGCGTCTAGATACCTTCTTTGGTGATCTAAACGCTCTTATATTTTTTTATAGGGGGAGTAGGAATTAACTAATAATATAAAGATTTTTTTCATGCATGTTGAAATGGACCTTTGATTAGGTGACATACTCTATCTGTACAGAAATATTTGTCGAAAAAATGAATAAAATGAATGTATTTAGAAGTAAAATATATCTAGATAAATCAATCTTTCCAACAAGTATTTGAGATTTTTTAGGGTACATCATACTACTCCGGAGACTGGGCAGTATAGATTCATCTCAACGTTGATTGGGTGGGTAGTTTTGTCATTTTTTATTTGGTAATTTACTATAGAATTCCTCGCTGTGACCTCCCGTGGCCGTCGCCGGACGCCGGTCATCTTTGGCGTCCATCCAACAGTCGATCAGCACTGTCCACTAGTGCCTCTTTCTCTGCTGCATCCGGCGAGCCTGCGCATGCCAAGGCTGCCGCTTCCCGTGTGGGCGGCTCGGGTCGGCATCACCTGGATATGCGTTGCTTGTGCCTTGTGGCAACAAAATCATCACGATAGGTTTCGGTGAGATCCGATCGGAGTTGTGACTACTTGTATACGTACAAGTGATCGTAGGGAAGCCATTGGGTGCTAACATGACCGTGCATCTGGACATGATCAATTAATCTGGGAGGCTAGCTTGGTTAGCTTCGTGCTTATTTCCTTGGTCAAAAGTACTGGCTGGAACGATCTTCTACGTACAATCGTCTCTTCGTTGCATGTCATCTCCGCCCGGATCAGGCCAGCGCTAACAGTCTCAGAATGGATGGATGGACGTTTGGTGAAAACAGAGCGTCTTGACAGTTTGCATGTAGAGTTAGTGTTAGTATATTTGTTTAGTGTATGTTCCGATTTTACCCCTTAACAAAATGTACTACTAATTTTGTCTAGTAGTATCGGTGAATCTAATTCATTGAATGACTGAAAATAGACGGCTCCTATTGTTTAGATGTACCGTAAAAGATCTCAAGTTCGGTATTGAGATAAATAAAAATGGAAACATTAACGCCCACACATGTGGCAGTTTTGTAACTCGCCCACACGCATGGATCATCGTCCAGTGCAGTTTGCACGAATCTTGACACATTGAAGCAGAATTTGCATGCCACGTAGGACGGGCTTGGTGTGTGGGCGTTGGAGAGTTTGCCCACACGCCCGCACCATGCTGTTTGCCAGCTGCGCTGTGTGGGCGAACTAGTTTCTGTCCACACAACCACCACCTAGTCCATTCGCGTGTGGGCGAACTGCTTTTCGCCCACACGACACTCCTACGTTGTGGATGGCAACTGCAGTTACGCGAACGTGACAACTAGGTAAACACACATGACAACTGTGATTCTTTACTAGACGGCAACTGCAGTTGCACATACGTGGCAACCAGATAAACATACATGGCATCTGTGATTAACCACATATGACAACTATGGTTGAACCATACGTGGGAACTAGGTAAACACACATGACAACTATTGTTTGACCATATGTGGCAAATAGTTAATCACACACGGCAACTACGGTTTGATTACACGCGGCAACTACCATAAATTAGACAAGGCAACTATAGTTAACCAAAACAGATAGAATTGCCATGCTTTTACAACTACACTTGCCATCCCGGATAACTACATCTGCCAACCAGGATGGCAACTAAATCGCCATCCCATGGGTACCTAACGTAGCTGCGCCAGGACGTGTGGGCATTTTTGCTTCGTGCCACACACGCAGGGTGAAGAAGAGTAGTATTTGTTGGGCGTGTGGCATGAAGTAACCGTGCCCACACGTGTGGGCAATTCCAATATCCGCCCACACACAGCCCGTATGGGCTGCCTGCTACTCACATCACACACCGTGTGTGGGCGCATGTCGAATATATCGCATGTGTAAGAGTTATCGTCGTCCAATAAAAATCCATATGCAGTTATATACGAGTAGGATATAACTAGATGGTGATAAGTGCTAAGCAGCATCCACGACGCTCTTATACGTAAAGTCAGAGGGATCAAGAGTTTAAAGGCTCTGCGTAGAGCTCTTCATGACCACGCACTGGAACCCTTCCCAGAGCGCCTCGATGTAGCGCTCATGGAAACGAGACTTCACGCAGGACTTCTATAATCGAAACATCTGGAATCTTAGCACGTACGGATCCTCCAGAAGTCTTACATGCAATCCCGATGAGCGAAATCTTAATGAGCTGCTTAAGTCAAATTTGCAGGTCCGGGACTAAACAATGCATAGGAATGCCAAGCTGCCCTGGGATCAAGAAATCTTGAGATGCCGCATAAACAAGATCAGTGGGGATTGATGGCTCCACCTTAGATTGATTTGTTTTTGGATCTAGCAAAGCCCTGCCTAGCTGATTTTTCTTTTCTTTTCGAGGTTGCATTTCGTACAAGACAATTAGCACGGTGCCCCAAATGATGAAGTGTTGCTGAAGGAAGACTTGGCTGTTACCAAGAAACTCTATAACTACGGCGTGATACTACCTAGGATTTGGTATTTACAAGGATTACTACGTAGGAGTACTATATGTCCTTACACATTTGGAAGCATCACTTATAGTCCTGAAATACATAGGAACCATACCATATTACTTGCATATTTGGAGTATGATGTTTGCTGCCAAAGCACCTTGCAATAATCATCAGCACGTTAACTTACCATATTAAGAGACATGCTAATTAATGGTCAACCACAGACCATGCTCAATTAATAAATCATCCACTTACCTACACATACTTCCTCCGTTTCTTTTTACTCCCGTGTAAGACTTGTCAGAATTCAAACTTTGTAAAATTTGACCAAGTCTATGAGAAAAATGTCAACATTCACAATACCAAATCAATATCATTAGAAGCATCATGAAACTAATTTTTATATCCTATAACTTTTGTATTGCAGACGTTGATATTTTTTAATATAAAGTTGGTCAAACTTTACAAAGTTTGACTTCAGATAAATCTTATATGTGGTGTAAAAAGAAATGAAGAGAGTACTAATTAACCCAAAAATAATTAAATTATGAAAATAATATAATGTATAAACCCCATTACATAAAACGAAGGGTCAAACTATTCTATACTCACCCGCAACCCCAAAAAAATTGTTTCATACTCACACAACCTGCTCTTGCTAGATTGTAGTGCCAGTTCTACATAAACACTCTTTTTAGTCTAAATGAGGAAGTTGAGTTCCATATTGTGATTTATTGCCACACATAAATAGTCAATTCATAAATCAAACACATTGGCTAACTAAAATCACACCAGCGGTTACAAAAACATGATAACCATAGGTGTCCATGCACATAGCGGGGAGACAAAAGACCAAAATGTATATATTGTGTTAATGTATTTTCTTTGTTCATATCACATGTAAATAGGAATGTAATCCTACCGAATAATTGTTGTATATTTCGGCTAGGATCTCTCTGATTCACCTTGATTAGCAAGGCATGTAAGCCCTATATATGTGAATACAAGGCGCCCTTGAGGTGGTGTGAATTGCACAACAAACTCCACAACAATACAAGTTTCCTTGGTATCAGACTATTGTCCATGGAGCAATGCTAGACTCATGGGGGTGTTTTTACAACAATGCAAGTTTTATTGGTATCAGACTATTATTCATGGAGCAATTGCACAACAATGCAAGTTTTATTGATTGTCCATGCCATCGACCAATTTTCTTAAGTGACAAGCGTATTAGCTGGTGCAAGATAATTAATGCAAGCCTACTAGTTACGTGACCTGGCTAGGCTGATTACAATACAATGTGCATACTATATACTGTATCAGGAACTACATATGAGGACACATATGTCATGTTTTTTTAAAACAATACATATGTCATGCTTGTTGTCAAGACAGTCAGAGTACACGTAAGGGTGCTGCCACTGTGCCAGGATGACACAGATGGCGGTCTATGGCTACAGCTAGTTAACCACCATATTTTATACCCATGGTCAAAGGTCACATATATAATATGAAGTTATGAACCATGAAAGCACAAAGACCTAATAACAGTAGGATTCGCTAACACCGTATCATTAGTTAATTATTACCACTTGGTTCAGCAACCCCTACTAAACCCCTGGCTATCGAACTTGGCCAGATGCATGCTCGCTCTCCGCCTCCTCATCTAGCTGCTGCCAAGCTTGCTAGCCAGCAAGCCCAGCCAGCCATGGATGCTCACTACCCCAAGTACCTTCTCTACGGCATCCTCATCCTCGGCTCATGGCTCATCTCCTGTCTCCTGCACTTCCAGTTCTTCCATCTCTCCCTCTTCTCCTATGGGCCACGCTCCGGCGCGTCGTTCGTCCTCATCCCGCTGTCGGTGCCCATGGCGCTCGATGCCAGCTTCCTGCCAGCTCCCTCTGCCGTCGCCGAGGATGTCCCCCTGCGCCGGCTTTCGTCAGCAGCGTCGTCGTCTTGCCAGGGGAGGTACGTTTACATGTTGGATGTGCCGTCGCGGTTCAATGTTCTCAGGGACTGCGTCGAGGGCTCGCCGGCGTTTCAGGACGAGTGGCACGTATGCTCCCTCATGGCCAATGTCGGCATGGGCCCAGTGCTCCCTCCCGCCACCGGCAATGGAAGCGACGGTGACACGGGTGTCATCCCCAACACCGGATGGTAAGCTCCTTGATTTGTCATCTATTAATGGCGGCGTAGGTCAACCGGTGTGGGTTTTGCCGGCATTCATGGTGCTTATACATGAGTTAGCTGCGTCTAAGAATGTTACGTGCAGGTATGCCACGGATCAGTACGCCCTGGAAGTGATCGTGCACAACCGTATGCGCCAGTACGAGTGCCTCACCGACGACCCGGCGGCGGCGACGGCTCTGTACGTGCCCTACTACCCGGGGCTGGAGCTCCAACAGCACCTCTGCGGGTTCAACGCCACGGTGCGCAACGGGCCGTCGTCCGAGTTCCTGCAGTGGATGTCGGCGCGGCCGCAGTGGGCGGCCTTCGGCGGCCGCGACCACTTCATGGTCGTCGGCAAGACCACCTGGATGTTCCGGCACAAAGAGGGAGACGATAGCGGCACCCAGAAGGTCTGTGGCAACAACTTCCTCGAACAGCCCGAGTCCGGCAACATGACGGTGCTCACCTACGAGTCCAACATCTGGGATCGGCGGGACTGCGCCGTGCCGTACCCGAGCTACTTCCACCCCACGTCGGCCGGCGAGGTTTCCGCGTGGCAGGCGCGCGTCCGCGCCACAGAACGTCCCTGGCTATTCGCGTTCGCCGGCGCACGGCGTGCCAACGGGACGCTTGCCATCCGCGACCGCGTCATCGAGTCGTGCGCCTCCTCGCCTAGCCGGTGCGGGTTCATCGACTGCAGCCACGGCCTGGAGGGCAGCATCACCTGCCGGTCGCCGCGGAGGCTCGTCTCCGTCTTCGCCTCGTCCCGTTTCTGCCTGCAGCCGCGCGGCGACTCATACATGCGCCGCTCCTCCGTCGACGCCATCATGGCCGGGTGCATCCCCGTCTTCTTCCACGAGGCGTCCACCTTCAAGAAGCAGTACCGGTGGCACGAGCCGGATCCGGAGAGCAGCGGCAACGGCGACGGCCGCCCGTACTCGGTGCTCATCGACCCCGACGAACTCCTCGAAGGGAAGGTGGACGTCGAGGGGGTGCTAGCCAGGTACACCGACGAGGAGGTGGCCGCCATGAGGGAGGAAGTGATCAAGATGATCCCGAGGTTCCTGTACAAGGATCCCCGGGTGAGGTTCGAGGGGGACACGAGGGATGCGTTCGACATCGCCATTGATGAGGTGATGGCCAGGATCAGGAGGATCAAGAATGGGGAGGATTTGGGACGGTTTGCTGCTGATGATGTGATGGTTGCTAAGGGCTCCTGACACTATAGCTAATTATTACTGTACGTAGGTGGCCTTTTGCCTTTGTACTAGTTTTGTTGTTGCTACGTTGTTGTTAGTGGGAATGCAAATTATATGGTGTCCGTCTAATTCTCAGTAGTAATGGATTCTCACTCCGTACAGTCGTCGTTTCTTCTTTTTGCCATCTATGATTAATCATAGTTGCCATCTATTGTTAATCAGGATAAGAGCTTTATTAATGATAAAAAGACGGAAACACTAACGCCCAAATGTGTGGGCGTTTCCTAACTCGCCTACACGTCTGGATCGTCGTTTACTGTCTTTTGCACGAATCTTGACACGAAAAATTAGATTTAATGTGCCACGTAGGACGGGGCTGGTGTGTGAGCGTTGGAGAGTTTGCCCACACGCCTGCACCACGCTGTTTGCCAGTTGCGCTATGTGGGCGAACTAGTTTCTGTCCACACAGCCATCACCTAGGTCATGCGCGTGGGCGAACTGCTTTTCGCCCACACGACACTCATATGTTGTGGATGGCAACTGCAGTTACGCGAATGTGGCAACTAGGTAAATACACATGACAACTGTGATTTTTTGCTAGACGGCAACTACAATTGCGCGTATGTGGCAACCAGATAAACACACATGGCAACTGTGACTAACAATAAATGGCAACTATGATTGGACCACACGTGTCAACTAGATAAACACACATGGCAACTACTGTTTGACCATATGTGACAAGTAGTTAATCACACACGGCAACTACAGTTTGATTACACGCGGCAACTACCAAAACTTAGGCATGGCAACTATAGTTAGTCAAAACAGATAAAGTTGTCATACTTTTACAACTACACCTGCCATCCCGGATAACTACATCTACCAACCAGGATGGCAACTAAATCGTCATTTCGCGGGATACCTAACGTAGCTGCATCAGGACATGTGGGCATTTTTACTTCATGCCACACGCGCGGGGTGGAGATGAGTAATACTTGTTGGGCGTGTGGCATGAAGTAGCCACGCCCACACGTGTGAACAATTTTAATGTCCACTCACACACAGCCCGTATGGGCTGCCTTCTGCTCACACCACACACGGTATGTGGACACATGTCGAATATACTACATGTGTGGTAGTTATCGACGTTATAATTATAAAATGGATTTACTAATTCTCATCTAGATGAAAATTAGCTATATCACATCTAGATCTTCCACCGTTCGATTTATTTGTCTGTAAAATTGGGGCAATGAAGATCTCGACTGTGTCGTGCTTTTCCGCGTGGAGTTGTCACGTCTGTTGGGCCTTTTTCTACTTCGCGATGGGGCAGGCTGCTACCAGATTTCTGCAAACGCATAGGAAGATGGCGGGGTTAAACACGTTACTAATCATTTGTGATTGTGTCTAACAAAACTAATTAATTGTGATTTTATCCTTTTGTTTTGTTTTTCTCTCATTTGTTATTTTTTATTTCAGAATTGCTAAAACTCAGTTTTAATGATGTCTCATCTAAGTTTCGATCCATTTGATCTGTCGCTATAATTTTTTTTCCAGTTCTTTGATCGGGGTTGTTTAATCCCGTTCGGTGTTGCTTTTTTTTAGAAGAGTCCAGTGTTGCTTTGTGCGTCCGTTGTCCACTTTGCAGCTCGTCAGGCCAGGCATCATTTTTGTTGGGCCGTTTTTTCATGGCCTATTTTTCATAGCCTGTTTCAGTTTTCTGAGTTGTGTAATAATCGAAATCACTAATTAAGGAGTATCCGTTGCAAAGATCATTCCAATTTTCCTAGTTACGACAAGTGGTGCACATGCAGCGTGCCACTTGTCGCAACCGGGAGTTTTTTCTTTTTTCGTAGATCCGTTTATTCAAAACGTTTTATCTCTCAAACCGTGCGTTCAAATCTCGAACAATTTTCACTTTTGGATTCCTCGTGTCGAGATCTTCAAAACTAGATCCCATGTTGATAGGTTTTGACGAACTTTGTTTTTCACGAAAAAAACCGAACGAAAAAACCGAACCGGGAGCACGGGTTTTTTCCTTTCCGAAAGAGGCACGCCCATGCCTCTCACGAAATCACAACCGTGCCTCTCGCGGAAGCAAAACCATGACTCTCGTGGAAGAAAAGAAGAAGAGAAAACGCGTTTTTTTTCATTTTCCGAGGAAGCACGGCCGTGACTCTCGCGAAAGCACAACCGCGACTCTTGCGGAAGCAAAACCGTGACTCTCGCGAAAGGAAAAAAACAGAAAACACGTTTTTTCCTCTTTCCGAGAGGCACGGCCGTGACTCTCGCGAAAGCACAACCATGCTTCTCTCAGAATCAAAATCGTGACTCTCGCGAAAAAAAACCAGAAAACGCGTTTTTTTCCGTTTCCGAAAGGCACAGCCGTGACTCTCGCGAAAGCACACCCGTGCCTCTCGCGGAAGGAAAACCGTGACTCCCGCGAAAGAAAGAAAAAACAAAAAATATGTTTTTTTCGTTTTTGAGAGGCACGGCTGTGCTCTCGCGAAAGCAAAACCGTGTCTCTCGCGGAAGCAAAACTGTGACTCTCATGAAAGAAAAAAAGAAAACGCATTTTTTCACGCATTTTTTTTTTCAAATTTTTTGATTAAAAAGCTAAAATAGACCGGTGAAAAAGCAAAACGTCGAAAAACCTCAGAAAAAAATGTTTAAAAAGCAGAAAACGCGTGCGGAAAAAAATTCAAAGAAAGTGCCCAAAGCACGACATATGGGAATGGCTGAGAGCGTCAAATTAATCGTTGTAAGGCTCCCGAAAAAGCGCTTGTTAACTAGTTGCTCTTTGTAATAATAGTTGAAGAGACGAGTAGGCTGTATAAGTCGAAGGGACGAGCTGGCCCGTCGCTCATCAGTTCCATTCTTCACTCTTTCTCTTTCTCTATCCTATTTTCCTTTGTCTTTGAAGCAGAGTCGTCCCGATCATGGGAATGTATCCGGTGCACCTGTATTTGTGGTACTACCGATGCACCGGATGCCATAGAATATTTTAAAAAATCTGAAAAAATTCTAGCATGTTAACACAACATCAATGTATAATGTCAGAAAATTTCATATAAAAAGTTGAAATATTTTTTGAGACACAAAAATGACAAATTTAACATCAGTGTGATAATGGGCCAAATCTAAAACCCAAATTATGTTATGTACTATTCAGTGTTGAATCTGTCATTTTTCTTTTGGGCGTTATGTTTTGAATTTTGACTTTAAATTTTGTGACAATCTACAATGATGTTGTGCAAGCGCGCTAATTTTTTTTCATATTTTTTTGAACATTTTAAAAGCACAATGTGAGTTTGGTGCACCGGTAGCACCACAAACTCCAGTGCACTAGATATTTCCCCTCCCGATCATGGATCTCCTTCTAAACACGCAAATGCCCTTTTCTTCTGTTTTTATTTTGCAAGTCTAACCTTGACATGCAAGGAGCCTGATATTTTTTTTCTTATCCTAGTTGCAAGTCGGCCATCGATATGAAATTTAGCTCGACTCACTTTTGGTCTCTCAACATGCACTCAACCTGCATATTTATTTTCATGTCCTAGTTGCAAGTGGACCGCTGATATACAATTGGGCCCTACACATTTTTCGGCACTCTTGCAAATGCACCCCATCATGCAACAAGGTTCATCTTTTTTTGTCCCAGTTGTAAATCAACCATCGACTACCGACACGCAGTCGGGCCCTAGACACTTAAAATGACGTCATATAGGCATGCATTCTTTTTTTTCTCTTTGCATGAGTCCTCCGCTGAAAGCCTGTTGCACGCACAAGCAGAGGCCCAAGTTGAGGACATGATCCAAGCACGCGCTGGGAAAGCCCAGGGTTTCAACAAATAAAGCTCACAGATTTGATGATTGCCTGCGGTGGTCTTCATGGGACCCAAGCGACGGCAGCCTCCCATGATATACTTTTCCTCGCTGTCGGCGACGGTTACGAACGTGTTGGCTGCCTCGTTGATCTCCATGATGCCGGCTTCTTTCTCCGTCAGCACGACGCGGTTCCGCACACGTTGAGGGCGGATGTCACGGGAGGAGCAGTACTGTGACGCCCCGAGACCGTTGTGCCTCCCATTGTTTGGCTATGTTACTACTTTGCTCAGCCCCTCTTATAGCTAACCTATATCATGCCTCCTGTTGTTTGGCTACGTTACTACTTTGCTCAGCCCCTCTTATAGCGTTGCTAGTTGCAGGTGAAGATGGAGTTTGTTCCTTGTTGGGATATCACCATATCTCTTATTTAATTAATGCATCTATATGCTTGGTAAAGGGTGGAAGGCTCGGCCTTATGCCTGGTGTTTTGTTCCACTCTTACCGCCCTAGTTTCCGTCATACCGGTGTTATGTTCCTTGATTTTGCGTTCCTTACGTGGTTGGGTTATAATGGGAACCCCTTGATAGTTCGCCTTGAATAAAACTCCTCCAGCAAGGCCCAACCTTGGTTTTACCATTTGCACTAACAACCTATCACCTTCCCTTGGGTTCTGCAGACTCAAGGGTCATGTTTATTTTAACCCCCCCGGGCCAGTGCTTCTCTAAGTGTTGGTCCGAAACAGAGCCACTTGCGGTGCCACCTCGGGGAAACTTGAGGGCTGGTTTTAGCTATACGTAGTGTTCATCCGGTGTTGCCCTGAGAACGAGATATGTGCAGCTCCTATCAGGATGTCGGCACATTGGGCGGTCTTGCTGGTCTTGTTTTACCATTGTCGAAATGTCTTGTGACCGGGATTCCGAGCCTGATCGGGTCTTCCTGGGAGAAGGAATATCCTTCGTTGACCGTGAGAGCTTGTGATGGGCTAAGTTGGGACACCCCTGCAGGGTTTTGAACTTTCGAAAGCCGTGCCCGCGGTTATGGGCAGATGGGAATTTGTTAATGTCCGGTTGTAGAAAATCTGAAACTTAACTTAATTAAAATGGATCAACCGTGTGTGTAGCCGTGATGGTCTCTTTCCGGCGGAGTCCAGGAAGTGAACACAGTGTTGGAGTTATGCTTGAACGTAAGTAG